GAAATATCATTTTTCTCTTGCCTCTTACTTTTGATTTCAAGCTATTTTCCACAAAAGAAAATAATATTTCCCTAAGGAACCAGATACCCTTACAACTGCCAAGTCAGAAATCACTCATTTAACTGCACATTAACTCAGTGCAGGCGGCAGGACTGGTCCCATTAGGAGTTACTCAGCGGCCTGTGTTTGTTCTCCCTGGTGACCTGAGCCCATGTCCTCATAAATGTTCACTCCTATCGCCTCTCCGAGGGCAGTCACTGTAGGAAATGGATACCTTAATAGAGAAAAAAAAAACAGGAAACATGTAGGTACAAAATATGGGTCAGAAGTAGAACAGCGTCTCATCTACCCAACATTTAAAAGGAAATGTACTTCAATAGTGATGAAAATTTCTGTTATTTAGAAAATGTCTCAAGAAACAAAACATTTGTCATGTATTTGTTGATCCTTTGTACTTCTTCCTCTGCAAAGTATCTGTTCATTTTTTTTCCCCATTTCTGGGCTAGATCTTTAATTTTAGACGGTTTCATTTCTTTGTGTTCTTCATATGTTCTACATAATAGTCCTCTGTCTGAAGAGTAGCTAGCAAAAAGTTTTTCCCATTCTGTAGGTTGTCTCTTTACTCTACAGATTGATTCTTGTGCTGTACAGAAGTTTCTTAATCTGACATAATCCTATTTGTTGATTCTCGTCATTTCTTGTGCAATTAAAGTTCTGTTTAGAAAATCATTTTCTAAACCTGTGTCTTCAATTGTTTTATATATTTTATCTTTTTTATCTTCCTTAGTGTTTCTGTACTAATGTTCAGATCTTTGATCCTTCCTGACTTTAATTTAGTACTAATAAAGTAAAAAATTAAAAATTAAAAAGAAGAAAAAACAAAAAAAATGAAAGAAAACAATAAGGGAACTAAAGAAAACTTTGTGAGAATACAGGAATTCTTTGATGCAATATAATAAAGAACAAATATGAAAGAAAAATGTCAGGGACTTGTTTAAGAGTGTCAGGAAAAATAAAGACAGAGAAACGCAAGAAATACAGAAGATAATATGGGAGGAGAAAAGAAGCAGGCATTTGTCCATAATATTATAAATAAGAGCAAGAAATAAGAAGGTAACCAGCTTCGTCAGAAAGAAATGTGTGTACCCAGAAAAAGTAGATGCCTTCCACCTAACAAAAAAAAAAAAAAAATTCTATGATAGATTGTTACATGATAGGGGTGTGTGTGTTATAACGATTACCAAATTCTCTTGGGGGAGGGCACTTTCTGAGGAAAATACCTTCAGGAGTAATGTGAGGTGGACAGTGATGTTCTAAGGGCAAAGGTAGCAAAAGCCAAGTTTGAGGGTGGGAAGATAGCAACTATCTACAGCATGGAAACATCCAAATGAAAGAGAACGTAGGGGTCTGAAGGAGAACAAGTAGGAAGAAAAGCAGTGGAAGAGCAATGAGATGAAGGCACTTAGGGGTTTTGAAGATTTCTAACACACAAGTCGAAACCACTTAGAATATATCACTACAATATAAAAACACACCCTTCCATCTTCCCCAGCCTCTATAAGATTTTCCATATTCATAAACATGCATGGGGGCAGGAGTAGAGGAAAGAAGTAGGGAGAGAAGAAGAGGAGGGGAAATGAGAAAGAGAGAGAGAGGTCAGGGGAAAAGGTCAACTCCTAGTAGTCTAGGTGAACACAGTGAAAAATAGGAATAGGGAAGCAAACCATAACTAAAAGCACTTAAGTGGAAGCAAAAGCTTGAGACCAGAGGTGACCCTGAGAATATGAGTGCCTAGAGAACTCACAGAAATCTTGAGGAGGACATTATATTTGACAAGACATGCAATGCAGGTACAAACCAATTTTATCTATAACTTAGGGCCAGGAGATCCCAGCAAGCAAGTGATGTTTAACTATAAGTGGATTGTGAGTAATCCAAAAATGAAGGTCAGAAAAAAGGGAATAAAAGCAACCAAGCAATGGTCACTTAGAGCTTTTATTGGGTTATTAAGAGTAAGTCATGCCAAACTAACTTCATTTCCTATATAACTGAAGTTACCAGACTGATAAATCCACAATGCCACAGACAATATATCTTCATTTCAAAAAGGCCTTTGGGAAAGTGCTTGAGGAGGAAATAAAGAAGAAAAGTTTATACAGTAGCCCAATGAAGTGAGTTAGAAGCTCATTTCAATAACTTCACTCAAAGTCTGTTAATATTTGATTGGTGTTATGGGTAAGGAAGATATGACACTATTATTCATGTCATTAAACATTTTTTATGAGTAATTTGTTTAAAGAATTTTGAAAATCACACCAGGCTAGAAGGAGAAGACAAAATCAGGAGGCAAAAAGACTGTCCTGGACTATAACATAAAGCCAGAATTAACAAGATAAAATTCAATGAACATGAATGTAACATCTACCTTTATACATAAAAATGACACTAGTATAGTCATATGAAGAAGATCTGGATTAATAGTAGTTTGGGTTCACATCCTTGGTTGATTTTAGTTTCTCTCAAAATCAATATGAATCAAAATACTAATAAGTAAGATACTAAGCGTCAAACCAGAAAGGCAATTATCTAAGATATTGGGCATGTTCACATCAGATAATTTGGTTATATTTCAAGATGTTTTGATTTCCATATCTTTTATGATTTACCTACAATCTATAATATGCATAAAAACATTTCATGAAGTCATTGACAGGAATTTTATTGCTTTTATGGCAAATTAGTAACTCAATCCAATCCTTCTGCTGAGGACAATGAATAAAGTTTGATGAAATATTTCATCTTAAAAACATCAGACCTAGAAAGACAGTGAAGAATTTCCTGAGATGAGTATAGGAAAAGCCACGCTCAGCACACAACTCTATCATACTTTACTGCAAGGGGCTTCCTTTCTCTTTGATATGAAGACCTTTCCTTTTCACAGATGAAATATCGTTGTTGCACTGTGCATATTTGCAAGTAATTTAAATGCTCTAGACAAAGTTCCGGTACTAAAAAGTCACCAACAATGTAGGGGAAGATGGTGGGAGTTAGAACTGTCTTCTGGTGTACCTAACTTCTACTGACAGCCTGTTCTAGGCCCATGAACTTGTCTAAACACTTGGTAAAGTTATTTGTAGTTAGACTGCTCTAACTCTTGGTCTGCAAATTTCCACAAGTATTTTCAAACAAGATTCTTAAATTCATGATGCTGCTATTGTGAGCACTGAATTAATGGAGATAATCCAACAGTATCTGGCACATTATAACACTCTATAATTATTAACAATAATTTTATTGCAAAACTTAGTTCTTTGCTTGCGTTAGGTCTCCCGTGTCCTCTTGCTGGTTTATGTGATGTGGTATGTGTGGCTTAGCTCTACTGTGCCTGGTACTTACAAGTTCTCGATTAAAATGACAGTGAAGGTGGTTGTGCCCTGTTATGGTTTGTGTGTGGGTGTCCCCCCAAAGCCTCATGTGGTTATGGGGTGGGCTTTTAGAGTTTGATTGATTATGGGTGTGAGAGCTACACCCACCCTGGGGCAGATAGTTTGCATACGTAAGGGAGAGGAAGAGGCTGCTCGCCACCATTCCCCCCTTTGCTCTTGTTGCTTTGCAGTCTTCTGCATCGGAACCAGCCAAGTATGGACTGAAACCTTCACAAACTGTAAGCTAAATAAACCTTTCCTTCCTTCATTTGGGGGGTTGGATATTTTGTCTCAGCAATGAGAGAAATTAACCAAGACATGCACTTTATGCACATTTAACTTCAAACTGACTATGAAAATGGCAGTTTTCACCTCACAAAAGCCCTTTATTCTACTCTATCTCAACAGCCTAGAGTCTGAAATATAGGAAATGCTGGATCATCAGAGCTAGGAATCACCTGGAACGCAGTCTTTCATATTCATTTCATATTTACAGCATTTATTAGTGTCTGTGTTCACATACAAGAAAATTGAATCTAAGAAATATTCAGGTGTTTGACTATTCTTATTCAACAAGTTAACCAAGTAATAAGAACAACTAGAATTGCTTTTTACAGTAATAAAATTATCAAATGAAAATGAATATCAAAGAACAAAAAGGTCATTCTAAATGTCAAAATAAGCAACAGTAAATACAAGATGTAAAGGAGGTTTAGCTTAACAATTAGATAAAATGATTTTGACAAGAAGGTCAGTCTAATAAAGCTACTATTTGCTTAATATAGTAACAGTATAATCACCAGGAGATTTTATGAAAACACAGATGTATTTATGAACACAAGTGTAAAGGTCCTCTTTAAAGCGGGAAATTCAACAGAGTTCCACGAGATTCTTTGCAACTTTTCATGTGGACACCATGATTTAGTCAAACTAAATAAATCAAGAAACCCCCAAAATAGGCTTCACTGTAATTTTCTTTCTGTTTAAATGGATTTGTCTGGCAAAATGAAGCAAGCAGAATATCTGCTGCTTTGGTTTCGTTCTAGTTAGAATGTATTTTTACTCATGAAGTCCATGTATACGTTTTAATAATCACTTACTACAGACTTTACGAATTACTGGTAAAGATGCACTAATTCTCTCACCAGTCAAGAGAAATTGGCAAAATGGTGCTCATTCACAAACTAGAATAAACTTCCAAATACCTTAAGCTTTAAGATCTCTCCTTTTCAATTCACTTATATGTACATATTGTTACATATTTTCTATACAATTCTATTATTTACTTATGTCTACATAGTACATAATAAATTCAAGTCAAAAGTTTAGAATTTTCTTCTAAACATTTCCTTGTCAGGAAGTTATCTTCTGTTCTTCACTTTCCCATGGGCTTCAGTACCACTTTCGGCATCAATCTTTTGAAATATACTTTAGTCCTTACAACGCACTCGGGTCAAGGTCCTGATCAGTGACGTAAGAAATGACGGTGAGACAGGAACGCACCAGAATTGATGCCCGCTTGGAGGAATAGAATTAGAAGTGAGAGCAAGGCAAACTGAGCAGTCTTTTACTTACAGACGACACGTGCTGCAGCAGACACATGACATCAACCATGTCGGCGAGGATGAGGAGTCTGGTAACTGCAGCCAGCAAGGCACGGGCGGCTTGAACTACAGCCTCCCTTTTTGGGAGATAACAGGGGTCATCTGTAAATCTCTCAGCTGACACCTTCAGAGCTTCACCTGAAAAACACAGACCCAGGTCGGTCAGACTTCAAGTTTCCACTATGCCTGTTTTGGCATTGACCAGCCAACCTAAGCATATGCCGTGACGAGTATAATATTAAAATACTGTCAGCTGGTGCAAGCACATTGTCTCTTAACAAACAGTTCAGGTTCAAGCTGGCATTTGTATTTGATAAATGCTCTGGGATTTAAGAAGCATAATACCGTCTTCCTGCAAGAAAATTATGCTCAAATGGCTAGCAACATCCAGTAATGCCTAGCGACAGCCAGTAAAAACTGCTACCAACTTCTGTGTTTTCTGAATCTCAATTACTGTGAAAAGTTTCATTACAAAGATTTCAATGACAAACACTCTTGTTTATAAAAATAAAGCAAATCTTCACTAAGTTACTTTCTAAATTAATGGATATTTAAAAAGATTAGCATGTAAGATAATGGCAGTTGTCTGATAAAAGTATAAAATGAACAGATTTATTCTACACCAATATAATGAATAAACTATATCCTAAATTTAGTCACAGAAATAATATTTTATATTACATAATTGTCAGATAAATACTATGTCTACTAGTTGTTTTTTTTTTTTTTTTTTTTTTTTTTTTTTTTTTTTTTTCTGGTACCGGGAATTGAACTCACGACCTTGCACTTGCCAGGAAGGCGCTGTGCTGCTGAGCTAAATCCCCAGCCCCTATATCTACTATTTTAAAGTAATGTTATTTAAAATATTATTATAAAAATAATCTATGCTCATTTATACTTAAAAGTTCCCAGTTCAAAAGGGTGTAAAAATGAAAAGTATCCCTTTATGTCCATTCAGTAATATAATTCATAATTACCACATGAATTATTTGGTTTTTAAATTTTAAATCATTTTATCATAAAAGTAATATGTACCCATTTCTTTTTAATAATACACCTTAGAATATAGAGTAATAAGACCCACATGTGTAAACATCATATTGTCTCTTCAGTGTAAGAACCTGAAAGAGTAAATAAAACCCAAAAGGTCAAATACATACTGTGAAAGTGAAAGAAATTGCTCAAAGGGAAGGAACAACTGCGATGAAGGAAAGGAGAAAAGAAAGAAAGAAGGGAAAAAATATATATGTATATACAAGGATAGCTGGGATAATTGAACTGCTGATGTCTATTGGTTTATTGAAAGGAACAGTTAATGTTTAAATCTTTTTTTGACCAATTTGCTTGCTTATATCTGGTAATCTGAAAAACTAATTTGAAGACCATAGTATGCAATATAACCACCACTGTTGAATTCCTACCGTCTTGATTAATGAAACTCTGTATCATTTCTAATGTTTTTTATTATTTTTATTCTCTTTAATTGTTTGATCATTCTAGAATTCTTACATCTAATAATCTGAGCAACTTCATTGAAGATAACAATATGTATATAACTACCATTGTTAATTTCCTATCATCTTGTTTTGAAATTCTGTATCATTTTTATTGCTTTTGTGTTGTTTTGTTTTTATTGTTGTTATTTTTTCTTTAAAATAAAAAATTTAAAAATTAAAAATTGGCTCAGCAATTCTACACTCCAGGGTGTAGAGGAGCCACCCTAGGGTGGATGGTTACCCAGATGATATAAAAGGGAAACAAGAAAGGACAGAGGGGCTTCCATTCTCCAGAGGAGCTCCAGTCTTCACCTTCAGCTTGGACGACGTCTCCTGGCTTCTAGTGCAGACTCTTCAGCTTCTGCCTTGGATCCTTCAGCCTTTCAGTGCAGACTCATCAGCCTTCCATCGCAGACCCATCGGCCTGCTGATACAGAGTTGCATGGAACTCTGCAGTGAGCTCCAGACCTTGAACTGACTCCTTCGGTCTCCAGTGTGCAGACACCCTCTGCACACTTCCTCATCCAACTCATTGGCTGACCATCATAAACCAATCTTGTAATTTCTTATACATTTGTATATCTTGTGTTGTATCTGTTTCTCTAGTAAAACCATGACTGGTATATTAATATACCATATTAACAGAGTCAAGAAAAATACCATATGATCATCTCAATAGATGCAGAAAAAGCTTTTAACAAAGTCCAGCACTTATTCATGATAAAAACCCCATAAAAACCTGAAATCGATGGTCTTTATCTCACATTGATAAAAGCCATCAATGAAACCAACAGCCCACATCATACTAACTGGAAAAAAAACTGAAAGCTTTCGCTCTAAAATCAGGAACAAGACAAGGATGTCCACTGTCTCCACTCTTATTCAACATAGGTCTGGAAACTTTAGCCCAAGCAATTAGACAAGAGAATAAATAAGAGGAAAGGAAAAAGTTACACTGTTATTATTCATAGATGACATAACACTCTACATAGAACGCTAAAACCACCAAAAGACTTCTAGATTTAATAAGTAAATTCAGTAGTGTAACTGGATACAAAGTCAACACTCAGAACTCAGTGGACTTCCTGTACACAAATAACAAACTACCTGAGAAAGAAATTAAGGAAACAACACCTTTCACAATAGCATCCCAAAAAATGAAATACCTAGGAATCAATTTAATGCAGGATGCAAAAGACTTCTACATTGAAAGCTATAGTACTCTGATAAAGGAGATTGAAGAGGATATCAGAAAATGGAAAGATACCCCTTCGGTCTTTGGTAAGATGAACAAATATAGTTAAAATGGCCATACTTTCAAAACTACTACACAGATTTAATGCAATCTCTGGCAAAATTCCAACAATATGTCTCACAGAATTAGATAAAACAATCCTAAACTTCATTTGGAACCAGAACAGACCTAGAATAGCAAAGGCAATTCTGGATGACAAAGGCAAGGCAGGGGGCATCACAATGCCTGACTTGAAATTGTACTACAAAGCCACTGTGATAAAAACAGCATGGTAGTAGCAAAAAAAAAACCAGACCCGAGGATCAATGAAACAGATTTGAATATACAGAAACAACTCCAGACATACACAGCCAACTTATGTTTGACAAAGATGTCAAACATATTCACTGGAATGTGGAAAAAAGATAGCTTCTTTAATAAATGATGCCTGAAAAACTGGATTTCCGCATGCTGAAGATTAAAATTAGACCCATATCTTTCACCATGCACTAAACTAAAATCAAAATGTATCAAAGATCTAAATATTAAGATAGAAACATTAAATCTCCTGGAAGATAAAATTGGTAAAACTCTTAAAGACATTAGTGTAGGCAAAGGCTTAAAAACCCCAATAGCACAGGAACTATGACAAAAAATCAACAACTGGGATCTCACCTTATTAAAAAATTTTTGTGCAGCAAGAGGAACCACCAACAGAGTGAAAAGACAACACACTGTGGGGGAAAAAATGTTTGCCAGCTGTTCTTCAGACAAAGGATTGCTATCAAGAACATAGAAAGAACTCAAAAAAAAAAAAAAAACTAAGACCCCCCCCCAATTTAAAGACGCAATTCAAAAATGGGCATCTGAGATGAATACACACTTCTCAGATAAAGATGTACAAATATCAAATAAACATATGCAAAAATGTTCAACATCATTCGTCATTCAAGAGATGCAAATTAAAACAACACTGAGATTCCATCTCACTCCTGAAAGAATGGCTATTATCAAGAAATCAACCAATAACAAATACTAGTGGGGATGTGGGGGGAAATCTACACTGGTGGGAGTGTAGATTGGTACAACCACTGTGGAAATCAGTGTGGAGATTCCTCAAAAAACCATGACTAGCAGTTCCATTTGACCCAGCCATTCCCCTCCTGGGTATCTTCCCAAAAGAATTAAAAGCATCATACCACAGTGATATATACACACCTATGTTTATAGCAGCACAGTTTATAATAGACAAATCTTGGAAACAACCCAAGTGCCCATCAACTGGTGAATGGATAAAGAATATATGATTTTCTTGTACAGTGGAGTTCTACTCTGCCATAAGAAAGGATACACTCAAGACATTTCTAGGAAAATGGATTCACCTTGAGTCCATGCTCTTAAGTGAAATAAGCGGGACACACATGTGTAAATACTGATTTATTTCTCTGGTGTGAGAAACCAAAAGTGTAAATAAAGACTGAAATGTATAATAAGTATTGTGAGGAAGAAAATGTTCAACTGGGGAGAACCAGAAAGAGGGGAGGGGGAGGGAAAAGTAAAAAAACATGAGAAAAGGAAACATGGAAACAAAGCATTTGTAAGTGGGGAGGAGAGGAGGGGTTAGGAGAAGGTTAGGAGAATGGGGGGAAAACAAGTTATATAATGTACAGGTACAAATTTCCTATGATGAATGTGATCATCATGTATACCTAAAATGTACCAGCCAGGCATGGTGGCACACAACTGTAATCCCAGTACTCTGGAAGCTGAGGTGGGATGATCGCTGTGAGTTCAAGGCCAGCCTCAGCTACATAAGTGAGTTCAAGGTAAGCCTGCACTATACAGCCTGCATTACATAGCAAGACCCTACTTCAAAAAATAAAAGTAAATAAAATTGAAAAATAAAATGAAATCTAATTTAAAACAAAGAAAATGGAAATCTATCACCTGTTCCTCCATAGGCAGAACCAATATAGCTAAAATGGCCATGCTCCCAAAACTGTTACATAGGTTTAGAGCAATCCCAATCAAAATACCAATAACATTCCTTACAGAACTGGAGAAAGCAATCTTAAAATTCACATGGAACCAGAATAGACTTAGAATAGCAAAAGCAGTTCTGGGCAACAAAG